GGGAGCTGGGGCAGGAGGAGGAGGAGCTGGGGCAGGAGGAGGAGGAGCTGGGGCAGGAGGGGGAGCTGGGGCAGGAGGGGGAGCTGGGGCAGGAGGGGGAGCTGGGGCAGGAGGGGGAGCTGGAGAGATGGCTCATTGGTTAGGAGCCCTGGCTGCTCTTCCTAAGGACCCGGGTTCAGTTTCCAGCACCCACATGGTGGCTCACAACTGTCTATTACTCCAGTCCCAGGAGACCTGATGCCCTTCTCTAGCCGCTGTGGGCACCAAACACACAGGGCGCACAGACACACATGCAAGCAGAACATTCATACACATAAAGTAAAATCTTAAAAAAAAAAAAAAGCGTAGAAGCAGGCCAGTGCCCTGAGGGCTCCACAGTGCAGCAGATGGGCCCTCCAGCTCTGAGGGAAGGCGTGAGGCGGCCAAATGCTGCCTCGCCCTTCCTCTGGAAACACCTGAGTATCTGTCTCTCTTTACCTTCCAACTTACCTAACGGACAGAGTGAAGTCTCCAGGGTTACTCTTACTGGGCCTTGCCAAAAAACTGCCATCGACTCCTCTGGTCAGCAGGAGGTTCTCCGCCTCCACACCAGTGATGTTGGGGTGAAACCATCTGGAAGGAGGAAAAGTGGCAATGAGAAGCAGAGGCCTCAGTAGCACCCACACCACCACAGCTGAGCCCTCACACCGTGTGGTGGAGGCCTGTGAGCAAGGGCTGACAGCCAGCCTCCAGCTAGCCCTTCCCCTCTCCTTAGTGCCATTTCCTGGGCGGGACATCAGCATCCTGCCATCCTGCAGGCCCTGGAGGTGGGAGAGGGGCATGGCCAGTGGAGCCGGGCTGTTCACACAGTTCACTGGTGGGTCTGTCTGCCCCAAAAGATCATCCACAGGTCAGGAAATTGTCTGCATGCAACAAAACCAGGCAAACACAAACTACTTCATGAATAAGGGCAGGTACTGAGGCTCACAAGAGCCAAGTTCTCACTGCTGGGGGGTGGGGGGTGGGGGGTGCACCAGAACACTCACAAGGTGTCAGACTGCAAAGGGGGACACCCATGTAAACTCAACATCCTGATACCTATGTAGACAAATACACAGATACATGAACAGAACAAGGTGTTTCCAGAAATAAATGTAAGTTGCCTCCCCCACAGAATACTTGTTCAATATAAAAAAAAATCTCATAAAGCATCACAGTAGAGAAATTTAACAAAATTTTTTTTCTTTTTTTCTTTTTTTTGAAACAGGAGTCACTATGTACCCAAGGCTAGCCTAGAACTCGGACTCTCCCACTTGCAGCTTCTAGAATAAGACTACAGGTGCCTACCACGCCCAGAGCAGACACTATCTTACTCATCTGGCAGTCTCACCTGTTAGAGGGAGCAAACTGTGTCTCCAGATACCACACTAGGAGCTTCAAATACAGTGTCCTTTAGAACGCAAAAGTGACCACTGTGGATGCCATTCACTTCAAAAGATTCCCCCTAGTTTCCAGCAAATTCTCCCTCATGTGGCTGGAGAGATGGTTCAGCAGTTAGGAGTGCTCATTGCTCTTGCAAAGAAACCTGAGTTTAGTTCCCCCCAGCACCTACATGGTGGCTAACAACAATCTGTAACTTAGCTCAAGAGGATCTGATTCCCTCTTCTGCCCTCCAAGGACACCCATACTCATCCCAGAGTGTGTGCGCGCGCGCACACACACACACACACACACACACACACAGACACACACACACACACACACACACACAAATACTTAAATAAATAAAATATTTAAGATCTCTCTCATGGACTTAAATCACCAAGACTCATGTTAACTGAATCAATGCTCAGGCTAAACGACCCTGTGTCTTTAGAGTCAATATGAAATGTTAGGAACCAAGGCCTGGGGCTGTATCCCAGTGGCAGAGTGCTTGCCTAGCATGCATAGGACCCGGGGTTCCACTTCAGTCCTGCGTTAGTCATACCGCAAAAAACCAGGGGAGGGGCGGGGTACACACCCTAATCTCAGTACTTGAGAGGTAGAGGCCATCCTCAGCTACAGCCTAGGCTATATGAGATCCTGTCTCTCCCAAAAAAAAAAAAAAAAAAAGCCAGGTGGTGGCAGCCCAAGCCTTTAATCCCAGTATTCAAGAGGCAGAGGCAGGTGGATTTCTGAGTTCCAGGATGACTAGGGCTACACAGAAACCCTTGGTTGGAAAACAAAACAAAGAAAGAAAAAAGTTTTGGCTGCAGCTTCTCTGAACTATGGTTCCCATCTAGGTGCTCAGGGCCCCAAAGGAGTCAAAAAGCAGTTAATGGTGGGTTTCCAGCTCTCAGGTTTTCAAAGGGCATAATGGTACTCTTGCCTTACCCACACCCGCTAATGACTACATTAAGTCTCTTTCACTCTTGTCTACCAAACCTCTGTGTCCACTTGGTGTGGTAGTCTAAAGCTGAGAGGCATGAGCACCTTCTATTTAAAACAAACACACAAACAAAAAGCAGCTGGGTGTGGTGGCACACACCTTTAGTCAGGCTTAGTACTCTGGAGGTAGAAGCAGAGTGAGTTCTGGACCAAGCCGGGCTACACAGTATGATCCTGTCTGAAGCCGGGCAGTGGGTGGCGGTGCACGCCTTTTATCCCAGCGCTCAGGAGGCAGAGACAGGTGAGTTGAAGACCAGCCTGGTCTACAGAGCGAGTTCCAGGACAGCCAGGGCTACACAGAGAAACCCTGTTTTGGGAGAAAAAAAAAAAAAAAAAAGGAGGAGGAGGAGGAGGAGGAGAAACAAAAAGATCTTGTCTGAAAGAAAAGAAAAAACTTACCTATCTCATAATACAGGCCAGAGACAGAATCCGTCAGAGTACTGGATTTATGGTCTTGGTGTTAAAGGCATCCTCCAGTGGGTGAAAAAGCGTTTGACTGCAGGGTTTCAAGGGAAAAACCCAGAACCTGGTGCCAGACTGTCTTGGTTCAAATCCCAGCTGAGTGGCCCTTGCTAGTTACCCCTCTCAAGCCATCTATGAAGCAGGAAGAGTAACTGCCCCTATGGCACAGAGCCCTGAGAGAATGATACAGCACAGAACTGTCTAGAACAGTGCCTGGACGCCCTGTGGCAGACAGTGGTGGGAGCAGGAAGATCAGAAGTTCAAGGTCAGCCCCTGTGCCTCCACTCCCCTCATCTGTGTGACGTGAGTGACAGAGCGCCTGCCCTTCACAGGTGTCGAGGATGAGTGAGTCAAGGCACCAAAAGGAACCACGCACCTGCCCCAATCTCTGGGGCACTGGTGCTTTTGGTCGCGCTCCTCCGAGACAGCCCAGCCTGTGCTCAGGAACCGACCACCTCTGCCTGTGTCTGCAGATTTAGCCCTTGCTGCTTCCCCACCCCCTTCCGTGCCAATCTGACTTTTCTGAGCAGAGCTTCGGCTGTAAATTCTGTCCAAATCAGCCACTGGGTGGGGACACAGCTTGCTGAGCCTCAAAGCTTCGACTACTTTTTGTTTTTCACTCCTCTAGAGACAGGCTGGCCTCCAACCCTTGGTCCTCCTGTCTCAGCCCAGCGCTGGGGTTCCAGGCATGGCACGATGCCTACCTCTGCCCATCACTGTCAACTTTCACTTTAGCTCTTTAGTAACCAGTTTCTAGTACAATCTCGTTTTCTGTATGGGTGTGCTCATGCCAGGGCACTCATGTGAGGTGGGTTCTCGCCTTCCTTCACCACGTGGTCCTAGGGATGGAGCTCGGGTCATCAGATCAACGGCAAGTGCCTTCACTGAGTCATCTCGCTGACCCTTAATTACGTTTCAATCATGATGATGGATATCTTGTAGTGTTTGAAAATTACCCATAAGCCTACAACAATCAGAGTTATTAGATTTTTATTTTTTTGTGTTGGAGTGTTTTGCTGGTGCATCAAATGTGTGCCATGTGCCCAGAGGCCAAAATGGACATCAGATCCTCTAAAGTCAGACAGTTGTGAGCTGCTACATGGGTGCTGGGAACTGAACCCAGGTCCTCTACAAGAGCAACAAGTGCTCTTAACCACTAGGCTCTCCAGCCCCAAATCACCAGGTTATTAAAGGGGAAAATGGTGCTTCCTCTGTGTGAATAGTGAAGCAATCCCAGCCTCCCTCTCCGGAGTCACGGCCCACTATGAGTCCTCCTGAGAGGGCATGGCAGGCTCAGAAACTGCTTCACTGTGCAGATCTGCAGCCTGGGCCCATGGTTCACCTACTGGCCTATTCTCTGTCCCCACTGTCCTTTTTTCCTCCTGTTTTAAAAACGAAAGTCTTGGTGTCTGAAAAATTACCCTTAAGCCTACAACCATCAGGGGTTGTTTTTTTTAAGACTTCTTTGTATCTTTTATGTGTGTGGATGTTTTGCAAGGACATCAGGGTGGGGACACGGCTCAGTCAGTAAAGTGCCTGCCATGCCAACACAGAGCTCTGAGTTCAGATCCCAAGCACCCATGCAGAAGTTGGGTGTGGTGGTTTGTGTCTGTAACTGGAGAGGTGAGGACTCCTAGAGCAAACACCTTGTGGAGATGGTTTTCCCACTCTTATGTGAGCTGTAGATTCAGTGAGAAACCCTCTCTCAAAACGAAGTCACCTGTGAGAAACTCAGCACCGTGCACACAAGTGGGAACCCAACTTTTAACCTACGGCTTGAAGGTCTTCCTGTAGGAGTACATTCTTTTTCCTGAGTACAAAACATTCTGCTGTGCCACCACAGTCATATCCCTGATGTAAGAGGCTTATGCAGCTGCTTTGGTTACTCACATCTGTATTATCAGTGCGCAGGAGGCTGAGGCAGGTGGATCTTTGAGAGACAGAGGCCAACCTAGGCAACACAGCAGGACTATTGCAAAAAAAAACAAATTAACTGTCAAGCATGGTAGTGCTCACGTGCAATTCCAGCATTCACAAGGCAGGGTACAATCCAGCCTTGTCTACACAGCAAGTTCCAGGCTAGTCAAGGCTACAGAGCCAGACCTTATCTCAGAAGTAAAGGAAGGAAGGCAGAAAGGAAGGAAGGAAAGGAGGGACGGAGAGAGGGCACCCCGTGATAATGCTGCACTCGTCTTTGGATTTTTGGAAATGAAAAGAGTCAGTGAGATGGCTCAGCAGGTAAAGGGCTTGATTGCTGTTCAAGCCTAGCACCCCAAGTCTGACCCTGGGAACCCACCCAACGGTGGAAGAGAACCAGCGCCATAAAGCTACCCTCTGACCTCCACGTGCACCACGGCAAGCATGCTCCCCTCCACAGTAACAATAACTAATTTATCAATAAAATGTTTAATCTACATAACTAATTTTTCGTTGTGTTTTGTCTTGACAGGGCTGCTCTGTTGCCAGGCAACACTGTGCTGGAAGGATCCCTCTGTCTCTATCTTTCAAGTGCGGAGGTTACAGCACGTGCCATTAGGCCTGCTGTAAGGGATTCTTTTATGTGGACATGTGTCACACATGCTAAACACTGAGCTGTGTCCCCAGCCCCTAACTTCTATGGTGACAAATACTGCCGACTACCCTGGCAGGCACACCTCCACAGCCATTCCATCCCTCACCTTTATCAACACTGCATGAATTATCAAGCTCTGTCTGCTCCCCTGACCAGTGGAAAGTGGCTTCAT